GGAGGAAGTGGTTTCTGAGATGAAAATGATAGATCTTGGAAGGAAATGAGCACTCAAAGCCTACAGATTCTGTGATCAAGAAGGTAAAGATATCAATTGTCTGACATGTACTCATGGATAAAAATTCTACTGGGGAAGTCTTGCCAGGAGGGATGGGAAGCTCTTAGGGATACAATACTGAGGACAGAGAGAAACAAGGGGGCAGGTGGCAGACACACCATAGGGGGAGAGCAGGAAGCTGGCACCAGGTAATAAGTAAGTGATCAACAAATCATACCAAATCCCTCTTCCCCACTTTCTGTGACAGTCAATCCTGGGGCATTTCTCCAACATAACCACACCTCTAATCAGCTGCCACTTGTCTTTGTTTCTACCTCTCCATCTCTCATATCTGTTCTCCTTTTCTTTCTGTGTACACAGCCACCATCTAAATAGATTTTTTAAAATCCTAGGGATTATTATTGATTGTAGCTTTTTCCTACCTCTTGTGGAGTTAGAGCACAAACAGATTTTGGTTATCAATGCAGAAAAAAAACCACATCTATTTATGAAGGCAAGTAGACTATTTACAATGGTAGCTAGACTAATGTAAATGCAATAGGACATTCCAACAAACAACAAACCAAATCATATGGAATACAAATTAATATGAAAGAGAAGAGAAGAGAAAATGAGCTCTCTGGACACATCCAATCCATCGTCTTCACAGTTGCCAAAGTGATTTCCCTAAAGGGTAGGTCTGGCTATATCCCTCCCCTCTTCAACAAACTCTAATGGCCAGTACTTAGAAATACTTAGCCCCATACCAAATGATATATGGCTGAACTAGAGTGATAGCTCTCTATATATGCTCTCTCTCAATATATACATATATACATATACATGTGTATATATAAATCACAAAGCCCTGACAATCTAGGCCTTCGCAATAACTCTTATAGATCTCCTCTCCTCTTTATTCCTACTTATATAACATTAGTACAGTCTTCCCTTACCACTTAGGCTACTGGAGTTGCTTCTTAATAGATTGAATAGTCAAAGAAATATATAGATGACAATGTTCATCTTTCCAACTATTTCCAGACTTAACCTTCCCCAATCCTATAACTAAACAGACATCATTCCTTTGCTCTAAAACCTTCAGTGGCTTCCTACTCTCTAGAAAGTTAATGATCTAGTAAGGGGGTTCTTACTCTGGGGTCTGGGAACTCTGAAAAATATATATATTTTGATTACTGTATTCCAATATAATTGGTCTCTTTGAAAGCCTATGGATTCCTAACATTTAACACATCCCACAATCTAGTGCCATGCCACCATTATCTGGATGAGCATCCTCCCCAAAGATGTGCATAGAATGAGGCCCTCAGAGGAAGGGTCAATGATACTTTTCATTCTGGGGTGTTCTGGAACACTCAAGTATCCCTAGCCCATGTTCTATGCATACCCAGGATCCTCTCTACTTTTCTAAGATCCAGCCAGGGACAGCAAGCAGCCTAAAGGCCTCCTGCCTCTCTACCTTTGTTTACAGTGTGGCCTATGTCTGTATTGTCCTCTCCCTCTCTTCCTGATGAATTTCTACCTGCTTTAAAACTCAGCTCACATGTCACCTCATTCAAGAATCTTTCCCTGATACCATCTGTTATGACCTTTCCTTGTCTTGCATTTCAGAGAACTTATAACTCTCAAGTATTTTATTTTTTTCATGTCTGTCTCTTCTCCCTAATAGATTGAACAAGGACTATATTATCTAAACATTTTATCTCCCATAGTGCCTTGCACAATGCTATGCAGAGCAGGTGCTTAAGCAATAAATAAATGTTTATTGAATTGAATGGTCCACTTGTGGTATTTGATTAAAATTCTAACCCCCTACTTGGACTTAATGTTCTTTCACTACTATCCATTTATCCTACTCATCCTGTGTTCTTTTCATCTCAGTGCCTATTCTTCCCCAACAAATGGAATATCAGATAGTCTTTCATTCTTCTTCAAAGGTACCCTGCAGTAAATTCCTCTAGCCTATACCCCTAATTTGTCCACTTCTCTGACTTCTTAAAAAAAGGAAGGGCAGCATTAGAGCCAGAAGATGCTGCTCCCTGAAAAGGGAGTGATTGAACCATTAGATATTCCCTACTTTATTTTGTCAATCTTACAGTAACTGGGTAGTAAATTCTTGTTGATCGATAGTTCAGTAGACAAGGGTTGGTGATTTAGATGTTTATGTATAATGAGTTTTCTCCTTTTGCTATACTGCTAAACCAATTAATTTGGTTATTTCTTGTCCCTACCTATATACAATAAATATCCCAAGGATTCACTGTATTAAAACACTGTCTACTCAGTGCTTAAAGGTACACATGAAATTATTCTGAGAGAAATGTTCAAATAAAGGTGAAACCTGTATTTTTTTTCACTGCACATTGGTCCTCACTTGAAGCTTCTAGGCACCTGAAGAGGTCCTGAGTTGGAGGGAATTAAGTTTCTTAAAGAGTAGCCTGGTTAAACCATATTATATCCATGCACTGGTTAACACTCCTTCATGGATAGAGATGAAGTAACTTCTAACAGATTAGTGGAAAAAAACTATGGATCCAACTCAGAATTCTTGGTAGACCAGTTCTCAGAACTTTTTACTGCCTCATGCCAACTTCCTTTTTCAAAACGTAAACTCTCTCTCTCTCTCTCTCCTTCTCTATCTCTCTCTCCTGTCTCTCTGCCTCTGTCTCTCCCATCTCTGTCTCTATCTCCCCTCCGTCTCTCCCTCCCTCCCTCCTTCCTTCCAGCCCTGGAATTCACACATTGAAAATATCTTCCAGCCTCTGTAGACTCTCTGATTGGTTTACTCTTCTCAGAACCTCCCTTTTAGGAAGGCATCCAGCTTAGTCATGTCTCATTCCTCTCCAGGCTCCATTCTGGTCTTCCTTTAACTACAAATCTTTCTTGCCTCTCCTCTTCTTTTTAACTTCTTTTTATGTATTGTCTTCCTCTATTAGAATGTAAGATCCTTGAGGAGAGAGGATTACTTTTTCTACTTATATGTGTATACCCAGTGCTGAGAACAGAGCCTGGTGGGTAGTGAGTACTGCTTATTAACTGTCTTATACCCACAGAACTCTGATCATGATCATTCTATGATAAAATCCTTAACTACAGAATTAGCTGAAGAGCTACAATAATGTTTTCCTCTGCTTAACTTAAAAAAAAAAACTTACATACTAGCAGAAAGTTAACATTGGGTATTAGAATTAATAAAATAAGGAATTAATGTCTGAATTGTGAGCATCAATTAAAAAATTAAAATTTACCTGGCTTCTTTAATATCCCCTAATCTGAGGAAACTTGCTAATTTCAGGGTTAGACAGAGCCTAGAGATTTACCCTATATGGAATATTCAACATTAAGTAACTCTATTAAGTCCCTATTTCTCTTTTTAGAACTAAAGTATTATTTAAAATGCTTCTATGAGATAAGTAGCTTAAAATGGGGTGCGTGTTGACTAACGTCTAGTAGGAGAAGGCTTATATGAACTGAAGCATAAGGAAGCAGGAAGAACTAGGGGAAAAATATATGCAACAACTGCCACAGAAATGGAAAGAACAATAATAGTTAGCATTTACATAGTGCCTACCATGTGCCAGGCACCGTGCTAAGCATTTCTCAAATATTTTCTCATTTGAACATCATAACACAATTGAAATAGAATGCTCTGAAATTATAATGACCAAGCCTGGTCTCAAAGAAGATAGGAGAAGGCCCCTCCCTTTCTTTGCAGAGGTGGAGGACTATGGGCATGAAAAATCGCATATGTTAGTTTTGTTGAACCTTTTGTTTTTTCCTTTTTAATTTTTTGGTTATAAGGGATGATTCTTGGGTGGGGGGAGACTGGGAAGAGTAGGTAACATAAAAACAAAAGATATCAATAAAATTTCTTTTAAAGAATGTAACCCACACCATTTGTAAGCAAAGAGTTTGCAAAATAAATATGACCAGTGTGATTATGCCTAGTTTGGTAAGTTGTGTTCTCTGAGCTCTATTAGTTCTAGGTAAGTTTAAAATTTACAGAAAATTCTGCAGCCAGGCCTTCTGGGATATTTAGATTTAATAAAATCCTAGAGGTTATTTTTGGTTGTGCCATTTTTCCTACTTTTTTGCGGTTTGGAGCACGGATTTTGATTATCAATACAGGACAACCCTAGTTATAGAAACAAAAGGACTATTCGCTGTGGTAGCTAGACTAACACAAGTGCAACATGAAATGCCAAGAAACCAAATTCTACCAGACAGTGAGTTGGAAATGTCAATAACAGGGAACATTTAGTGGAAATTAATTTTAAAGAGGAATGATAAGAGAGAAGAGAAAAGGAGTTGCAGAAACACAGCTGCAGAAACTGTGGATAAATGTTGCCAAAAGAACCAAATGAGAGCAAAATGTACCCAGAGAGAGCATCATTACCCCCAGCCCTGTGATCTGACCAGATGGGAAGATTGTCCTTGATGGGAGTTTTGTCACTATTCTGTTGTTAGAATTGGAGTATGGAGCTTCTCATTTAAAGACTAGGTCACTGAGCCCCAGAAGAAATGAGAGTGTCAATGCAGGGGCTCAAAATCATCATGGGTGTCCATGATCAAAGGAGGTTTAGGTAGAATACATAACATCCTGAAGAGAGAAGACTCACTCTCAAAGAAGAAAAAGGAGTGTGAGTATGCACATACCGCCATGTGTACACACACACACACACATATATACACACATACTCCTCACTCTTCCACTCCTTCACTCTCCCACATGCCCTGAAGCAATATAACTTTTATTTTTCTTTCTTCATCTCTGCTTCCTCCAAATAAATTTTTTTAAACCTATTACTTGTGAAGCAAACTAGAACGTAGGAGAAATGGGAAGGCAAGACATATGAGGGAGGGGAAAGACAAGAAAAAGGGACACAGATGCCAAAAGAATTTTCATTTTTATAATCAAAATGATTTTTTTTACATAGACAACAGAAACACACCAATATTTTGTGCGAAAAATATTTTTAAATAAATTTTTGTCTTTTTTTTGTACATTCTGATATACATATGTAACAAGGTTTATGGCACTGTAACCAGAGTCAAATCAAAAGAACAAAGGAAAGGGGGGAATAAAAGGTCATTGCTTTTGTTTTACTCCTTCCTAAATCCAAGCTGGCCATGTTTGTCCTACCTTTCTATTATTAAAGAGCCAGCTCTAACTGGTTTGCACACTCAAAACATTTTATTATTGCACAAGAAGCCAGTGAAGGCATATGGCATGATGGTCAAGTTCCTTGTTTTTTAGAAACCTTTTAAACCCAAGAGGGGAAAAACCAAAACCAAAAACCAAAAAAAAAACAAAAACAAACAAAAAAAAAACCCCAATCTCAGCATATGAAGCAAACATAATCAACAGTACCTTTTATCTCTTTAAAAGAGTGAGTGAAGGGTTCTTTAGGCAATTAAAGCTGTCTTGATACCTCCTTTTCACCAATGACCACAGCTAGATTTGGTTTGTGTTTTCTGTATCAACAGCCTTGGCAGAATCAAGGCCTTTTTGTTTCGGTGTATTTAATGCTTAATTTTGACTATTTAATTTTTTTAAAAATTTTTAAGTAATTTATTGGGTCTATGAACCTGCACAGACTACTTAGCCATAAAGTCTACACGTAGCTGAAAAGGGGAGACAGAATGGGGGTAGGGAGTCAGATGGAACAACAATACCAAGTGCTGTTTTGTTTCTACCATTGGTTTTTTACGTGACCTCTTTAGTTTCCCTGTTTTTGATGAGTTTGTGGGACACGAATTTCAATGTCAACTGACGTGAAATTGTTCTCACACTTGCTAAAAATAAAAAGCATTTAAATGTTTGTTTAACTAACAAACTTTACCCCCAATCTCAAAAAAGAATATTAATAATAATAATAACAATTATAATAATAATAAACAACCTCAACCCTCCCTCCTCCAAATCAAATGAATAACATCACACAGTGGTCACACAACTGTCTCCACTCCAATGAGCTTTGGCGTAAGGATTCTTGGTGTCACTCCATTATTGAGGTCTTCCTCAAACTCCAGCAATTGCCCCATAAAGTTAAGGTTGGGAGAAATAATTGGTCGTTTGCCTTTGACAAATTTATAAGCATCAGTCATGGTCATCCGGGTGTGCTTCATCAAGTAGGCAATGACAATGGTGGCCGAGCGGGACACTCCTGCCTGGCAATGGATGAGAAGTCCTTTCCCACACTGGTGAGCTTCCTCTGAAAAAAAGAGAGTGGGAATAGAGGGGAAGGGAGAAAGGAAAAAGGGAGAAGGGGATGATGTTTACTCTTATCTGAGTATGGGCTCCATTAAAAAAAATTAGCAGTTTTGGAACAGTTTTGAAAGCAAATATAACTAAGTAGTCATGTCACAATGAGAAAGATGGCATGGAGGATAGAAGATTGGACATAGAGTCAGGAAAACCTGGCTTCAAGTTCTGCTTTTGACACACATGAGCTATGTAATTCTGAGCAAGGCACACAGCCTCTCAGTGACCCTGGCAACTCAATTAAGACAATAAATTACAGATGAGTTGCTGACCTGCAGTGGTGGAAGGAATTTCCATATAAAGAGTTCCCCATATTGATAAAATCACAGTTTCTCACTCCCTCACATAGCCAGAAACCAGATGAAGTTAAAGTTAGCCACATAGTAGAATAAATTCTACACCTAAGAGAATTTATGAAAAATCAATTGAGCATAATAGGAGCATGGGAGGAGAAAGAGGGTGAGAATTGAAAGGTTTTCTTTTTTAATCATTTGGGGGGAAAATATAATTTGCACTGTAAACAGTAACTGTAGGATAGGTTGTCCCATCAGCTCTGCCCGAGGATACATAGAACACTTTATGACGTTACACTTGGAATGTCCTAATGTTTTAGACAACGATGAGCAGGGTGTAAGATCTCAGGAGACTAGTTATTTTGATTGCATTGACTTTCAGTGTGCCTCTGAGTTAGAAATTGACATTGGGCTCACCAAATGTCCTCATATTGCTTTTAGCTACTATAGAATGTTGCCACCAACTATGGCAGCAACTGTAGTTTTCCCATTGGTTTATAATTTCCTTCACAAGAACAGTAAGGAGGCTGGGTTATGTGACTTCTAAGGTCCCTTAACAGTTCTAAATCTTTTTCCCAGATAAGGAGAAGTACAGAGAGGTAAATTAACTCATTGTAGGTCAAAAAGGTATTAGAAGAGCCAGAATATGAATCCAGGTCCTCTAACTCCAATGATAGTATTCTTTTGATCTTGTCATGCTGTCCCCTTAATAATAATTGGCTGTTTGTTTTTGGTTTTGTTTTTTTTTTAATCTACTTACCCACTCAAGGGCAGTCAAAATTATCTTTTAGGCTTATATATGTACCAAGAACAATATTTATAATCTTTATATCTCTAGCAACAAAGACAGTGCCTTGCACACAGCAGCTACTTAATAAATACTCATTGATTTAAAAAAAAAAAAGATTCCCCTCTCCTCCATTACTTGTTAAGGTAGAGAATAAAAATCTCTTCTTAAAAAAAAAATCTGATTTTTTTTTTTAGAATTTTTCAGAACATTAAACTGGTTCTGAAATGAAAGGAAACTTGAAAAGCTATTCTATAACTTTTAGTGTATACACAGCGACATGCATATCACAGGCACTCAAATATTTGCTAAAGGGCTCAGTGGATAGAGTGCTGGACCTGGAGTCAGGAAGACTCATCTTTTCTTCCTGAGCTCAAATCCAACCTCAGATACTTACTAGCTGTGTCACCCTAGGTAAGTCACTTAACCCTGTTAACCTCAGTTTCCTCATCTGTAAAATGAGCTGAAGAAGGCAATGATAAACTGCTCCAGTATGTTTGCCAAGAAAACCCCAAAAGGAGTCACCAAGAGTTGGACATAGCTGAACGGACTAAACAATAAGAACGAAATGCTTGCCTACACGTGTATGTGTACCATGACAACAGGGTAAATTCTAGACTCTAAGCTATCCGAGGTCAAGAGACTTTGTCTTCTCTAAACTTTATTATCACACTAGACCATTGTGTAGTACCTCTGTATAGTCAGTGCTTTATTCATGTTTTATGAATAAGTAAAAGAGGAAACTAAGCCATAGTACAAATGCCACAGCAACAGAAAGAAGCACCATTGGGTACATTTTCAGAAAAAAACGAAGACTTAAAAGAAGTAAGAATGGGTCTCTTTTTAAAATTTTTGTTAAAAGGAGTAGCTGCCTAGGAAGGGGAGGGAGGAAGAGAGACACTAAAAGATAAACATGATATAAAAATGTATATCAATAAAAATAAATATAAAACAACAACAAAGAAGTTACAGTGGGTATTTATGCAGTCTGGTTATCTTTACTAAGGACCTTTGAAACCAAGTAACAAAGGAAATTTCCTTGAATGTCAGTTTGAGAAGTAGCATGACAAGAGACAAGGGTACCAGGATGTCATTTCCCTAAGCTATTTCTATTGGCTTTCAAAAATCTAACCAGATTTTTATCTAAACCTAATTTTTATTTTAAAAACCATAGGTGAAACAATGAGAACCATGAATTTTAAAATGTATCCTTTGGTATGCTGTTTTTTTTTTCTTGCTGTCTTGAACTGCTAGACTTTCAAACTATTTAGCAAACTTTGGCTGTCTCAAATCAAAAGCACAAAATTTGGGGTGAGGGCATAAGATTGTGGTCAGGGTTATTATCTCAAGATTTACTCATGGGTCAAACAATTAATAGTCCTCTGCATTCATGTAAGCTATGCTTCAGGTCATTCTTCAATTTATTTCCCCCACCTTTGACTTTCTATTTTTTTCCAGCTCTGTTCCAGGTGGTCTTTTTGAGTGCTTTCCCATGTTAATTTATTAGTTGATTTATTAACTAGTATGAGGTATATATGCTCTAGCATGATTCTCTCGTCCTTTCCCTCTCCCCCTCAAAGCTTTCCCAATTCTATAAATTATCCAGGTTTGACTGGCTAACCCAATGCAAGGAAAACAATTTCCTCATGCTTCTCATCTACACTAATTAAGCCAGACTATATCATCAGCCACATACCAGTCTATTTTTCACCTACACGATGATGATGAAACCCTTCTTACTCAAAGCCAGAAAGTAGAACATCCTCAGGGCTCAAAACTTGGCTCCAATATGGTCAAGGAAGGAACTGAAAGTTTCTGTGTAGCCATAATTAATTATGGGTTAGTAAAACTAAAAGAAGAAGACTGTATATTACCAATTACTAACCACTGCTGGGGTGAGTATACTGCTTAACCTGAACACTGTGGAAGGGGTACAAGCACCACTGCATGGTTCTGTGAGGAATCCCAGCTCTGCCACAATATCCTTCTGCGGTGACTTTGACCTGCCAAAAATTCTCTGGGCCTCAGTTTCTTTAATTTGGAATTGAGGAGGAGGGGGTTGTTGATGAACTCATCTCCCAGTTCTAACATTCTATGATTTTAAATACAAAGAAAACAAAAGCAAGGAAGGAGAAAACCAGCTCTGGAGCCCCAAAATGGCTCTGATTTTCATAATAAAGAAACACCATGCACAAATTATTTTTTTTTACTTAATATGATAAAGACTTGCTACTGACTGTAGCATTTTGGATAGAAGTGTGTGTTGCCCCTACCACCACCACCACCTTCATCTAACGACCTTGACGACCTTGATCTATTTTCTATAATCATTTCTCCACATCTAGAAACTTTGATGCTAATAGTTCTCTTTTCCCTTTAAGTCACTTATTTTTTTTCATTCATTCATTCACGTATTCATTCTCTGTCTTTGGATCCTACTATAGTTCCCTAAAGGTATGCCCTTTTCTATTTGTTGTGTGTTCTTAGTTGCGCAAGCACAAGGAATATGGTATCTCCTCACCAGGACTAAGATTCACCCCTCTTCTGTGCTAGGCCACCAGCTTTTAAGAGATGAAAACCAAAACCTTGGCGACCAAAAGAAGGAACCCATACAAACACCACAGCCCCATTAACATTCCTGCAAGACTTCCTAGAACTCTGCTTAAACAAATGGGACCCTGCCCCGGCCTCCCTTTCCTACCAAGGAGTGCTCTAGGAGCCTATGCTAGGGAAGTAAAAACCACTAGGAAAATAAAAGTTAAGCCTAAGGGAAGGTAAGACTGGAAACTGATAGGCCGGAGTCCTTCCTCCCCCTCCTTCCCTCATGATCTAGAGGAGGAACAGCATCAGGTTATGCTACCCTTGGCAAGAACATGTTAAAGAGAAGGGGTCCACTAGGGGTCCAGATCAGCAGTAGTCTATGAAAGGCTTTGCTGGTAGAAATTGTCTCATTCTATACATTTGTACCCCAGCACCTAGCACCATGCCTGGCATACAGTAGGCACTTAAAATCTATGCTTGTTGGGGCAGCTAGATGGTACAGTGGCTAGAGCACCAGCCCTGAAATCAGGAGGACCCGAGTTCAAATGTGACCTCAGACCGATCACTTAACACTTACTTGCTGTGTGACCCTGGGCAAGTCACTTAAGCCTAATTGCCTTAAAAAAAAAATCAATGCTTGTTGATAGACTGGGGGTAATAGATAGAGCCCTGGATTTGGAGTCAAAAGACTTAGAATCCTAGTCCTGTTATTTAACTGGCCAAACCAGCTAACATTGATTAAGCAACTTACTAGATGCCAGATACCGCTAAGGACCGGGGATACAAAGATGGGCAATAATCAGCCCCTGATCTCAAGGAGTCCGCAGACTCCTCAAGGGATAACATGCAAACAACTAGGAGATACACAGGGTAAACTGGGGGTAGTCTCTGATGGTAGGCATTAAAATGGAGAACTGGGTAAGTCTTTTTGCAGAAGGCCAGACTTTAACTGAGAATTGAAGCTAAAGAGGAAGCTAAGAGGAGGAAAGAGGAAGAGAGGAAGAGAGCTAGTGAAAATGCTAGGAGACTGCCCTATGACTTTTGGCAAATCATAATTATACCTCTTTGAGACCTATTTTCTTTATCTGTAAAACAAGAATACTACATATTCTACCTACCTCACAAGGCTATCTTTTCAAACCCCCTGAGTTGTTGCTGTTATTATCCTCTTCTATGTACTTCTCATCTCAACTGTAGATCACCCAGTCACCTCTTATTACAGATGAAGTGGCCTTTCACTATCTGAACAGGTCTGAATTTGATTTCTGAGAGTAATATTCAGGATAACTCCTTTTCAGAACCATAATTGGATATGTGGGTGATAGGAGCAAGCAGCAGAAATGTTAAATTGACTTTTCAAGATAAAGTCAGATGAGGAGGAAGAAAGATTCCATATCCCCCAACCCCCGAGACATTAGCTCCCCTGAGCAGAGACTCAAGGATGGGAGGGAAGGAACTGCCATGGGGCTAGCTAAGGGGAGAGGGAAAGGGAAGAAGCATACCATCTGGTAGCTTTCCATTTTTTCTAATTATCCTTGATAACTAGCTTAGTTGTTGCTATGTTAGTGAGGAGGGGAGCAAATGATTTTTACAGTATCCCCTAAATTCTGGTGCCCTTGGGCAAGGCCCTAATTGTCCTGGCCTAGTTCTGGCTCTTGCTCCTTTTGATTATATAGAGGCAGAAGGAAGGAAGGAAGGAAGGAAGGAAGGAAGGAAGGAAGGAAGAGAGGGAGGGAAGGAAGAGAGGGAGGGAGGGGAGGAAGGGAGGGAGGAAGGGAGGAAGGAAGGGAGGAAGGAAGGGGAATTCTTGGAATCCAGACAATTGATGAGGCTGCCCTCAAAGCAGAAACATAAGAGAAATATGGTAGAGGAATGCCCAGAGGAAATAGTTACCAATGAACTCAAAAGCCTCTTCAAAGTATTGCCTCAGGTTCTGTTTGTTGCTGTCTGTGGCAGGCAGTCGTTTGTAGTTAAACAGGCCCTTCTCATAGTGGTAGAGGGGGAGGTGGGTGGTGACATTGATGATATAGCCGATGTTTAGTCGCTGCATGGTGTCCAGGTCCTGAGCATCATGCTCATTGCCGAGGAACAAACAGGGCAGGATGGGGGTCAGCTCCGCGTTCTCAATGTCAGGGGTCATGGGGGGGAGGGGTTGAGGTAGCACGCTGGAGGCTGCAGATGCTCCCCCACCACCCTCTGGGCACTCCTGCAGCTGGAGGGAGCTATCACAGAGGTTTTCATGGTTCTGCTTAAAACTACTGAGTCCACCTAGAAAGGGAGGAGAAAAAAGAAATTCAAATAGAAAATCATTAGCTTTTTTAAATGATGGAAATCTTTTTTTTTTTGGCCCCATGAAATGGATATGATTTTTTTAATTACAACTGATATTTATATACATATACAAAATAAAGTAAAAACAGCAAGAATGCACAAGGAAAGTACTCAGTCATGACTTTTACTGGATGCTTTCATAGGGTGCATATATACCCTCATCACATTCAATTTTGAGACATACTTGGGCTCAGTTTTGCAAGTCTTATCACTCCCACTGAATTTTAAGCTCCTCAAGGACAGGAACTGTATCATTTTTCATGTTCTGATTACCCTCCAAATTCATTTCAACAATCATTTGTTATTTGACAATAACAACAGCTCACATGTATCTAGAGGCTTACAGTTTTTACCAAGGCCTTTCTTTATATGAGCCTTTAGGTGCCTAAGCTGTGTCCTCCAAATGATGATTTGTCTTTGTTTTATTTTGCCCATAGTGTAAAGGAAATGTATACTTTTAGGGACTAGGAGTAAATAGCAAAAAAAAAAAAAAAAGGCTACCTCCCTATATAATACTATCTAGCATGGAAGTATCTATTCTGTTACTTTCATGGATGTGGTCAAATTCTAAGCATTCTCTTTTCTATCTATAAATGGGGGGGGAAGATGAGAAGAAGATAGATACTCTCCAACGTTTCTTCTTTATAGCATTTTCCATTTTTCTCTCATGGATTCTATCTACCTCAACTTCTAACAGAGATAGAAGTCTTCTTGGAGGAAAAAAAATGGACATGTGGTGATTTTTGTGGACAGTCAGATGGGTACCTAATGTATGTTCTATCAGAACTGGACAGGCTATAGTTCTGTGAATCAAAAGAAAATAGTAAATGTAGCAAACTCAGAACTGTATAGAGAATACATCTACTGACATCTCCCTGAAGTACTTAGTACACAGAGAAAACACAAAAGTTTATATCTCTTAGATACAATGATGCCCAGCTGCCTTGATAATACCAACATGATATAGAAGGTGATAGTGAAAGAACCAAGGGGATATAGTCAGGTTAAAAATCAATACAGAAAGCCTATTACCTCACCAGTTTCTGAACCCAATGCAATTTCTATGGTCTTTCTCTTTCAAGTACAGTAACACAAATACAGCACAAAATAGAACCTAGACAATATCTTAGAATGCAGATATCAATAAAACTGGTAAGAGATGAGGTGAAATAGAGAAGAAAATGGAAAAGCCACTTTATTCCTGGTGATAGCTCTCCTAAAAAATGTAAAGGGTCAATATTATAATCACTGAACTCATTCAAAAAGAAACAAAAATAAAACAGCTTTTACTTGGAAAACGAAGAAAAGTAGCTATACTGAAAACACATTGGGGCTATAATTGGCTTCCGTGTTTAGATAGATACCTCCCATTGTGAATTTCACTGTTCTACCAGCTAAGATAACATTGGCCACAAAGGCAGGCCCAAACAGAATTTTTAAAAGAGAAAGCAAGTGGAGGAAATTCAGAAGTTAAAAAAAAAAACCAAAAACACTTTATATGAGAGATCTCTTTCTATGTCTCCATCTCTGCCCTTCTGCTCTATCAATCTGTCTGTTTCTCTCAAAAATTCAACCAATCACCTACCATAATCACCCATTGGAGGACCTCTAAATAATTACAAAAACCTGCTTATAAGGTCTGTCTCTCATGGAATTCAACTAAATACTTCCCATCAGGCATTCATAGTTTAGATCCTCATGCACTTTCTCTGGAAGGAAGAAGGAAGACAGCACACTTTTTTGGATCTGATGTGAATAAGGACTGATCAAAAACAAGCTACACAAAAACTCTCAAGGCCAAGAAAAAAAGTGTCTGGGCTGCTATTCTTTAGTACACTGAAGCTGCGTTATATCTTAAAGGGAATGATCTTTAAAAGGAAACAACATACTCACACACCAAAACACGACCAGCCCCGCCCCCAAACAACTCACACTCAAAAGCTGTGTGCAGCTTTTTCAAATTCCCTTTCTATACCTCCTTTCCCGATGACATCAGCCCAAGGCTCCCCACCTGCCCAGTTGCCATAGCAGTTACACAAAGACACACAATGACATCAGTTGGCATGATATCAGCTCTTTGAGTGCAAACAATACAAGAAGAACTACTCTGTTTAAAGACTTTGGTACAACTGTGTTCTGGGGAGCCAATGATGTAATGTGAACAGGTGGCTTGGGCCCTCCATTTGCCTACAGGGCGGGAGGGGGGCTGGGAGATCCGGTAGGGATGAGGAGACCGTGCATGACAGATACCAATGGAATACTCCATATCGTTTGGAGTGTGTGCATATACATTTTATGTTGAGGCCATATGGTGCCCTACACACACACTCAATATACTTGGTGAGAAAACAAGCTGAAGGGTGAGGGTTAGTGGAAAGTATGGAGAAAACATACTGGGCTGAATAGGGAGATACTCGCTGAGGCATCCAGAGAAATATTCTAAAGTTTAGTCACCCAAAGCTTCTCATCCATTTTCATTTAAGTAAATTGAAACATATGAATGTGGGCACACACACATGCATATGAGAGCAAGAAGAAATACAGGTTAGAAGATGATTCCTGTTCAAGTCTGAGTTGTTCTAGATGGTCTTTGGGGTTCCTCTTCCAACCATGAGAGTATATGATAAATGTACACACACACACACACACACCTGCAAAATGTTTCTCTTTATGTAGGCATAGTAAGAACGAAGAATAGTGGCAGGGATGAAGGTGGCAATCGAGGTAGGATCTAAGGATTTTTATAATTTTTGAAAATTTTTGTGGGGAAGTAATGGGGTGGATTTTTTTAAACCAGCCAAATATTCGTGGCTGTAAACCTTAAAGGGCTTTCTAAATGTTAGCTATTATGATTATTATCATCATAATATTTAAAAGCCAGTGTATCACACATAGTCCTCTGGAACTATGAGAATATTTAAAAAGTCCTGTGGGTTTTTTTAAGTTTATGATAAAGGTCCTAAAGTAAAGACCAAAGCTTTTTCTTTTAAAACAGGGTGGCCATCAAGAAATTTGACCAGTTTTATTTAGCATTAGAAAAATGAGAAAATATTTCAAAAAAAATCCTAAGATAACAGACACTCCCTTTCTCAAAGGTTAAAATCCAACTTCACTTATTTGGCTGGGAAATGTAGTCAGGATAGCTTTTAAACAAGATTTTGTTTTAAAAATGAAAGTCTATAGTTCTGGCCAGAGGGGCTCTCCTTTCCTCCCACTTGAAAGTTACCAGCACAAATATATTCTAAGCATGAACAGCTCAGCTAGAGCTAGAGAATACATGTTTGACACTGCTTCCAGGGGCCAACAGCAAAGCGCTTTGGAGCACTCCTGATGAGTCTCTCCCTACTTTGAGAGGGGTTAGGAGTTACCTTCTTCTAACCTGTGTTTCTTTCCTGCCTCTTTCTTCTTGCTCTCATATGCATTTGTGTGTGGCTCATGTTCATATGAGAGGGATTGTTCCACTGACTGAAGCCCTTTGATAAAAGAAATGTGTGGCAGTGGAACTGATGCTCCCAGGGACCAAAAGAACATTTAGTGATGTAGTTGAAAGCCAGTCTTCTCTCTGTGAGTGAGTTTAAGAAACCTCTGTCAATGTATGAGCCAGAAGTCTCTTCCACATGTTAAATATAGATAGAACTTTTAAACACAAACTCATGAATTTAATGCTAAGCTGGAAAGTAAGCAATTTCCAAAGACTTCTCCATCCCAAGAGAAGCAAGAAATGTTAAGTGCAGGTAGCATGTAAAGTGAATTTATCTTAGGTGTTTGTTGGAAAAGTAATGGATTGAGTACTGAGCTTAGAATAAAAAAAAAAAAAACGATTCAAATTCCATCTCTGATTCTTATTGGACAAGTTACTCAATCTATCTGTGCTTCAAGTAATTCCCTAGTCTTGGGGGAACTAGAAAGACTGCTAAATGTGGAATAGGAGGACCTGAATTCAAATCCTGCCAACTACTGATTACTGTGTGGATCATGGGCAAATCACTCAACTTCTCTGGGCCTCAGTTTCCACATCTGTAAAATGAAATTAGATCAGTTAACCTTTGAGGTCCTTTCTGGATCTGAATGTACAACCAGGTCATTTATAAATTACCTGCTTGAGTAAAATGAAATCCCATAATACAGGTTCCCCAGAAGTCATAAATCCTTTCTGTATTCTTCTCTTACATGTGCCAATTCAGTGCCAAAGTATTATAGCAGTTCATAAAAGGAAGGAAGGAAGGAAAGAAAGGAGGGAGAAGAGAAGGGAGGGAAGAAGGAAGGAAGGAACTTTATTAAGTAACTATTATATGCTAGGCACTGTGCTAAAGTGCTCATTTGATCTTCACTACAACTCTGGACTGTAATTGCTATTATTATCTCTTTTTTACAATTAAGAAAACTGATGAAAATAGAGGTCAAGCAACTTGCCTGGAGTCACACAGATGTTAAGTGACTGAGGCTAAATTTGAACTCATATGTTCCTGATTCCAGTCCCTGAGCTCTATCCACTGCACCACCTACATGTCTCCAGGAGAGAGTAACAGATTATTACGAGCTGGGATACTCAGGGTGAACTTCAGAGAAGAGCTAGGATTTCAGATGGGTGTTGAGGATAGGGAGGGATTGGATAAATGGAGAGAAAGGAAAGAAGGTCACCAACTGAAAAATCAACCATCAGGGATGGAGAGGCAGTATAGTATGGTTATTAAAGTACTGGACCTGAAATCAAGAAGAACTGTTGGGAATTTAGGCCAGATATTCACCTATTCTATGACACTGAGCAAGTTAACTGCTCTCTGCCTCAGCTTCCTTTTCTCTAAAATGGGAACAATAACTGCACATACACTATGATACTGCTGTATCAAATGAGATAACACACACTTAAGTACTTTGCAAAACTTAAAGGCTCTAAAAAATGCTACTTAATATTATGTAAACTCCTACCACAAGGC